TGAGACCCAGCTCAGGCATTTGCCATTCTCGGTTCGGACTCTCTTTAAGATGCAGTTTGTCTTGCCGATATTCGGTGATCAGCTACGGCAACATTGGATCACTAGATTTGACCTGCCTGGAACATTAAGTTGTTTGCACTCGTCATCTTGCGTTGTTCGAAGCTCGCAGCAGTCCAATTGCGTTCTTAATGGATGATGTTGCAGACATGCTGGCATTCACTGTTCGCTTGGCTGGCTGATCCCTAGGCCAGGCAGCCGCAGCTTTGACCTCAGCATCTTTGCTATCTTGTTTCTTGGGTATATGTCAGCCAAGAAAGTGTTCCTGTTGGCATGCGGTAAGTGGCCAGGTAGCCCAGAACATTGTCATGATTGGCGAGCAGATTATGAACATGCAGAATGTCGGGCGAAGCAGACCCATTTGCTTGAATGTAAGTTTCGTGGGGCGAGCAGTGGAAGATCTTTGAAACCGGGAACGACCGTGCCAGGCAACAGCCCGGAGGAATGCCTGGAATGCCTGGAATGGCTCCTCAGGCATTAGCTTCTACATGTTCGGCCCAGAGCCGTCTGTTGAATAGAGCATGATTCCAAAGCTTGATTGACCTCCGGTGAACCTGAAACCAGAAACTTTTCGTTCACAGCAGGCAAACAAGCCGGACGTGCTGCTGGCTTTCGTTAATTGGAGTGTTGCGACTATTCGTGGATCAGGGGCATTCGCTGGTGGCATTTGAGGCTAAGCAAGCTGAGCTGATTGAATTCTCTAGACTAGGATGTTGCAGTAGGCTTTGTCCTCAGATCCGCGGGCTTGATCGGGGCAGTAGGTCGACGCTGGACGAATGGAAGGTCCTTGCAGCTGACTTTGCTCATCCTTCGAGTGAGCCTTGCAAGTCTGCAGTTTTCAGTGGCATTGCTGGTCACAGGAACGACAGCCCTTTAAGCGATTCCTTGCCAGGCAGCGAAGAGCATGATGGATGACACCGCTTCCATGTTCGACGACATGTTCGGGGTCCGCATAGCAGACAATGTCCTTTAAATCGTGTGCTGATGGCCTGTGAAGTTCTTTGTGTGAGAAGTCCCAGTTGGCCAGGGTGGTGGCGGTGGCGGCGACTCCGCGAAGCAGGGTGCCCAACCTGCACCGAACCCGCTCAATATGTTCAAAGGCCGGGCCCTGCGCTTTCTCCCTCAGTCCGAAAGCAGCCGTTTTCACACCTGTGCGAACCACGTGACTACAAGCCAAGTAGAGCGTTTGATTTAATCCACGAGCCTTCGTGCAGGCTTCGTGAACCAGGCCTGGGGAAGCCGGGGAAGTTGAAACTGCATGTGCTTTTGCAGAGTCATTTGGATTCATGTGCGCCGTGCTGTTTGTGCTGCCCTGTTGCAGCCGAATGAGCTGTAACTCCCCGCAAGTTGTCTACGAATTCTCGCAGACTCGAGCTTAGGGCTCCTGGGCAGGGCTGCCCTGTCGTTGTTCGCGGCACTGGGTTGGCAATAGTTTCTTCGAGTCCTCGAGCAGTTGCATTTTCGAGTGCCCTCATTGTCATTGCCAAAAGAAAAGCAGTTCTCGTTCCCGAACTGGAAGGTGTCGGGCAAAGGTTTTGCTACTAATGTGCAGCTCGGGTTCAATTGCGAGCTGCATTGATCGCTATTAGTAGCAAGTTTTTCTCGCCTTTGAACAACACTGTTAGTGGCAGTTATGTTTCAGTGCAGCACTTTGTGCTCGGGCCTTATTTCTCAGCTTCGGCAAAGACTTCGCCAAAGGTGTGAGATCTCGAAGTTTCTTTTTGGTAGGCTGGAAAGCTAGGATCGGGGTGCTCTGGGGCATGTGAACCGGCCGGCCCTCGGACTGGAGAGACGTCCCGGTCCCTCGCTGAGCTGCTTGGCTTCGGTCCCGCTGTTGAACGGAATGGAGCCTTGTGATGACCTGCTAGCAGTGGCTGTGGCTGGCAGCCGCCTGGCTGCGAGCATTCAGGAAGTCATCCTTAGGCCGCCTCATCGGTGATCCTCTCACTTAAATCTCACACTTTGCATCTCGTCCTGTGTCGTTTCGGCCCATGGGAGCCATCTTCGCATGCTGGTGAGCTCATGAAGAAGCAACGGAAGGTACTCGTTGCCTCCTGCAAATTTCGGGAGAGCGAATATCTGGCCCGAGGACCAGGAAATACTCCCGGGCAAGCTGACAGCGTGATCCAGCAAGAGAAGTTGTTGGCCATAGGGCAGCAGTGGCCGTCGGCCGCACCCTCGCAAATCCCCCTGTCACGAAGCGGCAGCTGACGAAGAAATTGCTCCGCAGCTCCCAAAGCAGAGGAGATTTCGTCTGGTTCCTGTCGAAGGCTTTAACCCGAAATCAAGAAACAGTGCTTCCGTACCACCAACACCATTCTGATCGTTCAGTTGCGGTCAACGAGAGAGCCGTTCACAACCAGCGTGACGGTGCAGTCGATTGGATTTGGGCGGGACCTATGCTTGAACATCTCTTCGCACACACCTGACCTTTAATCACTGTCGAGAGTCTGGCCTGTATTTTCGATCGAAGCCCCCTCCCAGCAACCGGAAGGAGCATGCGCCAGCACCTGCCCCTGCGCCTGCTACAAACGTTGGTAGTGCGACTCTGGCTTAAAATTTGTGGTTCAGGGCCTGTGGCAGTGAGTCTTGTGTCAGGTTTGAGTCTGAGAGAAGTTTGCGCAGAGACGGTCGAAGGATTTTCGTCAGTTCATTTTACAGGTTTGCAAGAGATGTCAGGCCAGACTTGAAGATGAAGCCAAGCGGCACTTGCCAGCATGTGACGACTGCTGTAATTAATTAGCTGCCCCTGTGCACTCTCAGCTGAGAGGTGCAAGATGCCATGTCCATCTTTGGGATGGCACAGGCAAGGCATCCTCCGTCTTTGCAGCTGGCAGGGGTGAGTCTTGTTTGCACTGTTTCCTGCGAGGGGCGACGGCTGCAAATGCCCATGGGCATGGGCGGAATGGGCGGAATGGGCGGAATGGGTGGAATGGGTTGAGGACTCGGAAGCTCACCCATTAAAGCACTGCCGCATCGAGGGAGTTAGGTGCTCGACACGGTGCAGACGGCTCACGTTAGTGGAGTTTCTGAGCACTTCACACTTCACGGAGTCAGTTTAAAGATGATCAGCGATGCCGAGCCCTCCAAACCTTCGGCATCGATGCTCGGACCTGCTGGGATGTGCTGTCCAGCTGAGGCATGCCGGGGATGGGAGGTGCGAGCCTGCTTTCAGTGCCATGAGAAATGCTTTCTGGCTGCCCATGCCCTCTACAGATGATCATGTCATTCCCCGTGAGGTGGCGGTGGAATGGACCCGGCCGGGACCCAACATGCCGTTTTGGGGCAATCACAAGCTGGGCATGTGCTCGAATTGCACTGCTTCGCAGTCCATACTGAGAACTGCCATAAAACCGCACTCATGTCCCAGCATTCAATACCAAATGTTGATAAAGAAGTTTGTAAGCATGCGAGCATAGAGCTGAGATATCCAGCGTGCACGTGAAGAGTTAACCAAGTAAGCCAAGAGGTAAGTTCCAGCAACAGTGAACCCACAGCCGGCCTCAGCTTGAGATGTTAACAATGGAGCGAGAAACCACAGCATATCTTGTTTTTGCAAAAGGATGTGAACATGAATAAATGAATACAGGAGAGTGAAGCACTCAACAGACTAACCTGCGCGCAACGTACTACTCACCAAACACTATACGGGCAGGGAAGTTGATGCACTGAAGGACATGACATCAGGAATGAGCAAGCACGCCTGTAAGTTTCCCTTCAAAGGTGTGCATGCGACACCTCATAAACAAATAGGTACAACTAATATATGTGAATATGCAGATCGAAGCAAGCCAATGGTCAAGTGAGCAGCAATCAAGCAAACAAGCAAGTAAGCATACATGGTTGAGGAGCCAGGCATCTACTCAAGCCAGGCAAATGACAAATTATTGGCATGTCGACCGGTAAGAAACAGGGAAGTTAAGCAAAGCAAACCACAAATAGGGCACTGCAATCAATTGTTTGAGCCGGCACCTGGGCAACAAAGCAACGCAGAAAGAAGGATCGAAGCACACACGTGCAGCAAAGAACAAACGACCATGGTGCAGGTTCACATTCTGGGTCTTTCCATTACATGGAGAGGGCATGGGGAAGCGTGCCAGCTCCAACAGCAGCGTCGAAGAAAGCGTCCTAACTCGCCCAGATGATGATGATGGGGGCCGGCTTCTCAGCTCAGCCTTTCACGTGAGGTTGCGGTGATTTCTGATTAAGGCTTCCCTGTGTTTGGGGTTGCTGTCAGTGTCCTCTGGCCGCCACCCGGTTCTCGCATGCAGGGAGCGGCCCAGGCAGCGCAGTTGGCCAAGCAGGCGGCTGCCCCAGCATCACTGGCTAGGGCCGGCGTTTTTGGGCTGTCGCATGCTGTCGCAGCGCTGGCATGGCGACCAAAAACCTTCGGACTTGTGCAAGCACACATTTGCAGTCACACATGGTCTCGCTAGTGCTTCATGCGTGACCGTACTGTGAGGTGCAGGAGCTTGGCGGTTTGAGCCACAAGGTCATGCAGAGATGTCTGAAAGGCCTGTTGATGCCTGTTGTGTGCTCTCCGCATATGACATGTCCAAGGACTTTAAGCCAGCTAGGTTTCGCAGTGCGATTTCTCATCATTACCATATATTTATTCGCAGACTACTAGTTTGGACTCAGTGCAGGCGATGCCCAGCAGCTGCTGCACACCGCTGCAGCACGCGCGCAGAGTCTTGGCGGCCATGTTTTGTTGTTCCGCACTCTATGGCTTTGCTTGACAGTGTCGCCATGTCAACATGCGAATTGTTTGCTCGGCTCCTAGTCCTAAATCATCCATTGACTTCAAAGTCACATAGTCATACTTCTGGCGGGTGAGTGTTAGGTTGCGAGACTCTCTTGGAGCTCCTGCCAAAAGATGTGCCAACGCCAATGCGTCTGCGGAACCTCACCTTTTGGGCTGTATTCCATGACAACCACCTGAGGAACCCTGCATGGATGCAGAAGGCTATGGTGGCCAATGGCCCAAAAGCCCTCGGCCACATGGCAGCTTGAGGCTCAGCCTTTCGCCCTGGAGCAGGCGATTTCGGCTCTGGGTGTGCAGAATCAAGTTTTGATCTCGTGCCGTCTGGAACCCAGGATGCAATCACTGCGTACCATGACGGTAAACCTGATCAGTTCGGGACTGCAACTGGCACCGCGCCTTGGATGAAGACGTCTTTCGTACACACGATGGCTTCTGCCACGGACTTTTTTCCACCAGAGACTCGTAGCAGGTGATGCGAGAATTTCTGCTCAGCAACCCTGACAGCATCACGCCGGAGGCCGCTCTCAGCTCTCGGTGCCTTCGGGATAGAGAGAAATGTGTAGTTTAAGTCAGGAAGCGGTACAGGCTTGAGAAACAGAGCATGCGGCTTTCCTACGTGCTTCAAGCTGGTATGAAGCCGCTGGTGTACGCCATGTTTCAGGCCTGACACAGCCGAAGTTTGCTCTGAATGCAAGGTCCCGCTTCCACCGAAGGAGTCCCTGGCGAATGTCACGGCGGCACCCTGAGCTTTATGGCGGGGGAGAGACACCACTGATGTGCCTATCGATGAAAATTTCGGCTGAGTAAGGTAAGCCCTCAAACCTGGTGCACCTTGTTGCTCATTGTACATGAACCTAGCTAGCCTGGCTCAAAGCTTTAGTTGGTCCTTTGCCAAATCCCGTGCTTGAACTCGCTGGTGCGGTGTGGCCATGAGGTTGTGCGATGCAGTGCTCTTCCTGGTATTTCTGAGCTCTCAGGCTCGGCGCCATGAGGAGGGCTCAGGAACTTTGAATCACTGGGGCGGCCTGGACAGCAGCATCCTTTGCTGTGTCACCGCCTCGACCGACTACCCCACCAGCGACAGGAGGTTCCACGACGACTCATACGCAATGCTCAGGAACATCACCAGCATTGGTGCCTACGGTGTAACCGACCACTTCAACCGCAGCCGCTTCGATCAGCATTGCAAAGATGCCTTGCAGCTCGAGGACTGCCCCAAGATTACACACTTCATCTTCCTCGCGGGCGTGCACATGCCCAAGCCATTGATCATACAGCAGATCAATACCTTCCTGAGCAAGTACCACTTCCACTCTGAGGAGAAATCCAGTCTGAGTTTCAAGACTCCAACTTGTCCCAGACATCTTCACTCTCAGCAAGACTCCAAACGCTGTGGTAAGGGCCTGCAGCATTTCATGAGGATGTTGGAGCTTTGGAAAACAGCTCTTCAGGATGCTGAGGACGTGAAGGCCAATTCCGGTATCTCCGGATTCTTCTTCGGAGATAAGGGCGCAAAAGCAGCAGCTAAGGCTGATCTTGCTCGCGTCAAGCAGCAGCTGGAGTCTCTCTGGTAGGCTTCATGAGTCTGAGGACTGAGGCCTTGGAGAAAGAACGAGGCATATCCCACTTTGCCGGTCTGCTGCCACGATCATGATTGTGACGCATGTTCATGCTGAGGGGAGTGTTATGTGAGTGTGCCAAGGGTGGCTTCATGGATGGTTTCTTCGGCCCGGATCTCGCTGCAGGGCAACTTTTCTTCCTCTGAGATAGTTGGCACCTAGAGTCCTAGAGGAGAAGGAATGAAAGCTACCATCAGAACGCCGGAGAAGCCAGTCGGAGACCCAGGGGTGTGCAAGATCGTGAGACCAATACCTCGTAGTGCTGCAGTCCGATTCTGGAACTTCGTCTCATGCAACAGATGCAGAAGCTCCCGGTTGTGCTACGTTTGACAGCAAGTTATTTTCTCATTATCTTCTGATGTGGTGTCTCGCTCAGAATGGCATCCAGATTGACCTGAACAAGTGCTTGGGCGACAATGCTGGAACCTTTCAGAATGCGATGTGCTCAGTTGTTGAGTCCTGCCGTCGCATCAGAATAATGATCATCGCCAATGTGAACAATAGCGGCGATCATCATCATGATCACGCCGCCAGCTTCCATGCAAAGCACGCAATCCAGTAAGCGATTTGGATTGGCAGCACAAGAAGCAAGTACTAGTTGTTGTCGTGCTGGTGGTGGTCGTGACGGTCGTGGTGATCTCGGCGGTCGTGGTGGTCGTTTTGGTCGTTGTCGTCGGAGCTTGCTCTCGTCACTGTCGTGGTGGTATTGGTGGTTGCTTGTTTCGCTGCTGTAAAGCAGTCTATTCACTATTTTGCATGCCTCCACCCTCTCAGAGCCGGCACAAAATGCCAGAGCATTTTCGATAGAGAGCTACACGTTTCAAGCGAACTTCTGAAGCGAGGCGACTCTCGGAAAACACCACGCCGTCTGAAAGCGCGAAGCCTTGCCGAGAGCAAAAACGACATGACAGCAAAGAAGACCTTCGCGAGGTTGAATAAGGCAAAAGCCACCCCGACAAGCCGCCGGGCCCAAGAGCGTGCCGGTTTCCTACCCGTACTCACTGCTGTTATTGCTACTGCTGCTGCCACCACAGCCACAGCCATGGCCACGACCACGACCACGACCACGATGAATACGACCGCTCCTACTGCTACTATTGCCACGACTACTATCAATAACCTCTAGCACAACGCTTGCAACTACGACTGCAGCTGCTACCTGAGCCTTCGCTTTCAGATGGGCCACATGATGAGCCTCTACACGAAGGGGGGCATGCCCCAGACGCAGGCCGATTCGACAGCTGCTCTTTTCAAGATTGGTCTATTTCTTGAAAGAGTCGCCAGATTGGTTCGGGTGGGAAGATGGTTTTCGCAGTGGTGACATAACACAGCCGACTGACAGGCGGAGAAGGAGAAGCTGGCTTCACTGATCCCGCGAGGATCTTGGATCAGAAGGAAGTTTGAACTTCTCCAAGGAATGCCGCTTGCTGCACCAGTCGGGGCGGGTTCTGTTTTTTGCTAGCGTGATCCCAGGTGGATGGGAATGCAGATGATGCAGGTACAGAAGTCGCTCCCTAGCTGCAAGATCGCAGAGTAGTACATTTGAAAGAAGCTCGACCTCCATTCTTGCCTGCTTTCATCGATCATGTAGTCCATGCTAAAGTTTCGTGCAGCACCTGGCCTCATACTACGCTCTGCAACAGTCATGTTCGCAAGGTCGGAAGGCAACACTCAGCCGGGCTTCCATACTTTCACGCTGGTATTGGAGGGATGTTCTTGCAGTATGAGGTTGGGCAGACGTCACGAAAGCTAGCTCTGTGGAGCTTGCGGGAGTTGTCGTTTACCATTCACTTAGGTAGTAGAGAACTAGGTCAAATTGCGTGCAGGACCTTATCTGGTCCTTTCACAATAGCTAAAGGGGGGAGGGGGAGGGGCGCTTTCCACTGCACCATCTGCGCCACCCCGCAAATGATTAATTTAGAGCCAAGAAAGAGGGGGACCCCTTCCCTACCACAAGGTCAGCGCAACATTGCATAAGGAAGGGCCCCCTCCTTTGGTTGCCCCCCATTCCTAAAAAGTTCCAAAAGCACATTCTACTGGGCTCTTGTACTAAAATGGACAGTGCCTTGGCAATCCCCTGGGACAGAACAATCACTCACACTTCCGACACTCTCGGGCACAATGTTTTCCTCACGACTTGTGCCGGTCTTGAGCCAATGCTCAAGTTCCTTGAGCCAATGTCGAGTATGGCATCCATTGGCCAATGTACAGGAAGACTGACAATGATGTGGTTCAATCGAACACGGTCCTTTGGCCAAGCTTTCAATGCATAGCCACTTTCATACATCATTGTGAGTGTGCAAGCAACAGCAAACCAATGCACAGCGTACACAGAAGAAAACAATGTGCGAGACCAGTTTCTTCCACTGTACAGCCAAAGATAGCCAATCTAGAATGATGGCTAGTCGAGGAATGCAATCATTCACAATTTCACCCAAAGTCAGAAGACCTCTGAACCATGAGTTGTACAATTGTTTCAACATTACAGTGAAAAAACATGTTGTTACAATGCCGACGCGAAAATGCGATGTTCATCTGCAATCCACAGAATGACCATATAATCGCACAGTCACTTGACATCCTTGTCGCAAACCAATGTGGCCAACCATCAATTCGCACAAGCAAGAATGTTGCAATGCGTTCTCCACGAGCATGTCATTGAAATATCCAACATACCGCGCAGCCAATGCTGAGTCGAGCAATGCCAGAGATCAATTGCCGATCACACGTCGACTGGGTCGAATGTGACCTCGGTTCCTGATGCAAATTGCATCGTTACCACGTTGAAATGATCCGAGGGAGGAACAATGTCCCTTGCGGCACTCGACTGTTCAATCTGTCCATCTACATCATGAATGGGGCATTCACACCCGGCGGCCCGGCGGAATTGATGAGGCACAATGGTGGAATCCCATCAATGCGGCGATAGGCAAGTGGAATATGGCAATGCTTTGCAAGACCAACACTTGGTGCACGTCCAATGAAGGAGTTTTGCAATATTTCAAAGAACATGGATGCGATGGTCTGATCAGTTTGCAGAGCCAACATAGTTGCCAATTCAGCCGAAGAAACTGCAACCGCGCGGCAGCACGGTCTTCAGTTGAATCATCCTGAACAATGGTCGCGTACGAGCTACCGATCCAAGACACATTATGCCAATGTTTCTGACCACCAACTCCTGAAGCAGTTTTCGTCCCCAGAGTCAATGTCTCCTTGTGGGGATGATATGCAATCACCGCAATAGGACTTTCCACGAAATTAGAGAAATGTCCCTGTGACAGCCAGTGGAGCAATTTCCTGATCGCTGAATCGATGCTGGGATGTGCCTTGAGTTGCCCCAATGGACATTCCCTCAAGTGGAGAGTTCCTGTTGTGATGAAGTCTGCTGCCAATTGCATCGGAAGCGCAATGAAGACATTGTGCAATGCCAATAGTGCAAAGTTGGGAGCTTCAGCGTTCTTGACAATTCGGCAACGCTTCAATGCTGTCTTTGTCCAATCGAGAGCGTTTCTCGGTGACAATGCAATTCCTTCAAGCATCGCACCAATTTGCAAACGATTGCACAATTCGCTCAAATGACGATATGCGATGGTTGGAAATCCAGCGGGCCCAATGTCCACGCACAAGGTCATTGCCTGACAACATGTTGTCTGGTAAATATCACCAGCAAGCCTGCAATTGTGTTGGCACAAGTGAAACATCATGAACGCGGCCGACTCGAACGCAATGGCGAGTCGGTCAGTTGCCAATCCTGCAACTATGCTCAAGCCGCGGCATAGTGACTCAATGCATTCAAGCCAGAGACCCAGAGTTGTAGGCGAATCGATCCATCCAGTTGCCATAGACACCAGAAACTCCAGTTGCGTAACTGCAATCGCTCACGTTGCGAAATCTCCGGATCAGTCACTCGGGCCACATGGTTGGTTGCAGTACCAATCTGAGGTTCGATGGCTGCCACGACAATCAACGGAGGTGGGCATGCTGAATGCTATACTCAATGCTCACAAAGATGCTCGCGGATAAGAACTGAATTCCGCTTCAAGCACCAACGGAAAACACTCGATCTCAATCAGGTCTGTAGACAGTTGCAACCACATTTCACGCACAAATACTCGTTCAATGACGAGATCACAGGGTCGACAATCTTCATGATTGCCAAAATCCCCAATGGCTACTGACAATCACGAGTTGAGGAACTACAGTGCAGCAGTGCGAAAGCGAAATCAATCATGTCTTGCCAAAACACATCCTTTCTGCAATGACTCAAGGCTCAATAATTTCTGTACAAGGTTGGGGAAGGTTTTGCTTGCAATCAATTTCTGTACAGGATTGAAGCGGGCTTTACTTGCAATCTTCGAAAAAGACACGGAAAACAAGTTGAACCCGCGATCAATCGAGACAACCATCATTTACAGGAATCGACTACGACGACTCAATCAAACGACTTCAAAGGAGCGTCACAAAAAAAGAGTGTCACACATCTCAATGTCACAAGCACAACAACTGCATTAAAGTAACCAGCACATCAAGACTGTTCGCCAGGCACAATAGTAGACATTGCAACAACTCAGAATCACTTAAGCTATGCCTTCAATTGCTCTGTAGTAATTTTAGCAATCTTTGTCAATAATCTTTGTCAATATCTCGGACCCTCAAACGAAACCGAACCAATCACAAGAGGCAAGGCTGGACAGAGTCGTTGCTGACAATAAGCCGCAGGCAAGGTCCAAAACCAAGCCGCAATGTAACGCACAGGCCGTACTGAGGGCAACGCCACAATCAAGGCGGAGACCAGAAAGGCCATTGACGCACCTAGACACGTCTTCAGACAAAGTTACGAATCTCGAGAGCCTGAAGCAATGTCCTAATAAGTCCCAAGACAGCGTTGAGACCCAATAGGTACACAATCAGACATGACGCGAGCCTTAGCCAGATGCGCATCTCGGTCCCTCGGACAAAGCCGAGACAACCATAAACTGTCACGGCAATTAAGGATCCGACCAGTCTGAGGGCCAGACTGTGGAGCATGGTCACGGCATGCACAATAGCGACACAGCCAAGATGCAACAAATAGCCACGGAGGAAGAGCGCCAATGTTGACACAGCCG